AAAAAAAAAAAATTGAGGGGGGCAATTGCCCCCCTATAACAACAAGTAAATTCGCCCCAGATTGTCTCACAATCCGATATGAACTGAAATCCGTCTCGAACCGTCTTATAGCCTCCGATTACCTGCAAAACCGGAGAGGGGTCCCGACGAAAAATACTCGAACGGTCAAAGCCAATTTGTGTCCAACGATAAAGTAGCAGTGTATTTGCGTGCATGTATTTGTTATCTAAAAATAAAAACATGTCGAACATGTTATAATTAGGGTTGTGTGCTGATCAAGAGACTCATAGTATGGTAAGAAGTCTTCCTGTATCTTTACTCCTAACTAACTAGATCTTCTCATATGTCCTTGTGGATATATACTTCCATTCCATATAGGGTTTTACTCATACTAGTTGAACTCTACTTAGGTCTCTAATTTTATTTTATTTATTGTGCCATCCTACTTTGTCTAAGTGTCAAGCTTTCCAACTTAGATATACTGAGAGGTCACACTCCCGTCAAAGCATACGGAGATCGTTGTCCGTCCTTACTGTCACCAGGTCGGCAATTATCTAACTCAGTTGATGAGGTCTCCCTCCATGTGCCCCTGATGTCACGATCTCGAACAACTTGAAGTCAGGCAAAGATTACTACTAAAAGATCGAGTCCACACGTTACTCGTTCATCAAGCCTCCTGATGTCATTCTGTTTGGATATGTCTTGATGACCGAGCTAACCCAAACTATCTGGTCTGACACCGACCACATCGATCTGAGACCTTACAGCGGTTCTAACGACATGTTCCTTGATGATGTATCAAATTATACTTTAAAAAAAAATCAAAAAATTAAATAACATACTTAAAAAATAACATAAAAACCATGATATATTTCATAATATAAATAAAAATTGTGATTAATTAATAAAATACGGGATGCGACTATCCGCCACGCGTTAAGACTATCTTTATCCCCAACCCAACCCAACTTAACAATTAAAAATTATTTCTCTCTCCTCTACCTACACAACTCAATCTTCCAACCCAATTTATCTTTATTCATAACCCAACTCAACTTAAATATTTATTTTATTTTAATTTATTTAAAAATTGCAATTATGTTCTAAAATATATCAAGTGTGGTCTCTATTTGTAGAGAATGACAAAATACGAATTTTGATATTTTTTTTATTTTTTTTAAATACAAAAAAATACATTTGTGCAATAAAAATAGAACAAGTGTCCCATTTCGGTACAAAAACCGGTTGCGACCGCGCATCAGTGCCCTTTTCCTTTTTTTTTTTT